GATATTTAGAATCCTGTATGATTTATTATATCCCAATGCTGTCTTTTCATAAACCATCTACACATAGATTTCTCTTGGGCTCTGACTTAGACCAAACCACACTGTCCTCATTGTGACCATTCCTTCCACCAGGTGGCAGGATTTACACACCAGTATCCAGCGAAGAATATTAAGGGTAGGGCTAGCAAACTTGTAACAATAGGCTCTTGATATATTTATCCAGTGATTTCTCCAGGCCCTTGACCTGCAGACCTCTGAACACCAGAGTCAGCCTGTGGAAGTTCAAGATAGTAGAAATTTATTCTCTTCACAGGTAAAAAAAGCTCTCACATGCCTCTGGCACAAAGCAATTTTTCTGGTTAGGAGGATGAGCTCTTAGTCTGCCTTGTTCTCCTCAATACCTGTTACAGACAACTTCTCTGACGTGATCTAGCTTTGAGATTGCTAATATTCACAGAGAGAAAAGAAGAGTCTGGGTATCGGCCTATTTATTTGCAAATGGTGAAAACATAATGAAGACCCAGAGAAGATATCATAACACTGGAACCCCAATGAGAAAGAAACACCATGATATATAAACCATTGTCTCAATGTCCTTTTTTACTCACTGATTTGGTTCTGACCACCTTCAATGTGAGACTACATGCTTCTTAATTATTAGTGTTACATGTGAGGAAGCAGATTTTGGATAAATTAATCACCTTGCTTTTTTGAATTATTGTATGTCATCGTAAGATTATTAAACATAGCATGTACATTGATAACATGTGGTCTTAAGTCCAAGATTAAAATGTCTAGCTGGAGATAGTGGTATATCACAAATACTGAGGTAATTTTGGACTTTTCTGGTAGCAACAAGCTTTTGTTTCAGCTCTATACTAATCAAACCATAGGACATGGCTTACTTAGGCCATTGTTATAATTGCTTCATTGCTTTAAGTGTTTTTCTAATTTATATAGTAAAGCCAAATAAGGGAAAGTTTTCCTCAGCCTCATACCTGATCTTAAGGAGATTCCACATTAGTGAGGAATGGGGGGTGGTCGAGAGGCTTAAACTCTGGGCCTAGGCGTTATCTGTGTGCTCCTCAGCTCAAGGCTATTGCTCTAGTACATGAGCAACAGTGCCACTTCCAGTTTTCTAGTGGTTAATTGGAGATAGGATTTCAACAAACTTTCCAGCCCAGACTAGCTATGAACCACAAGCCTCAGATCTAAGGCTCTTGAGTAGCTAGGATTACAGGTGTGAACCTATGGGGCCCAGTGAGAATCCACATTTTATTTTATGTTTATATGTGGGTGTTGGAATAGACTGAGACATAAAAACAGCTTATATCTCTCTTGCTATGGCAGTGACAATGTTCCAATGCATAAAGATATTAAACCAGATTAAAATGTCCATAAACTCTATTCTCTCCATATCTTCACTTCCTGCATACACAGAATACAAAACACTCAAATTGCCTCTATCTTGTCCCTTTCTAGAGTAATTACAAAGAATTGAGATTAGAACACAGGAAAAGCAGCTCCTCATCCCTACAGGCACCAATAGATGTACGCATAGGACAGCAGACTGATTGTAACTTGTCCTGTTTGAATGAATCATATTCTCTAGTCTAAAACTAAGACACATGGGCATGATGGACCTATGATGATTTCCTGAGATGAGCCAGCCTTGCAGCTATATCCATCTTTGCCCAGACATGCTGATTTGCATTTGCCTTGATCACATTTTACTGCCACAATGACTTCATAATAAGCTGTTCACACCTGTGCAGCAGTCAGTCCCAGTCAGCACACAGCATGGACATGAGGACCACTGCTCAGCTCCTGGGAATCCTGTTGCTCTGTCTCCCAAGTAAGGAAGGATAATACTTCTCTCACCCTGTCTGGTCAGTGATGCTTGTGGATTCAGGGAAGTCCTGTAATAACCTGACTAATGATCAGGATATTTGCGTCTATGTTTCCAATGCCAGGTGCCAGATGTGACATCCAGATGACCCAGTCTCCATCCTCCCTGTCTGCATCTCCAGTCACCATCTCCTGCAGAGCCAGCCAGGATATCAGCAATTATTTAGCGTGGTATCAACAGAAACCAGGGAACGCGCCTAAGCTTCTGATTTCTTATGCAACTAGCTTGGCCTCTGTGGTTCCATCAAGGTTCAGTGGCAGTGGATTTAGGCCAAATTATTCTCTCACCATCAGCAGCTTTCAGCCTGAAAATTTTGCCACTTATTACTGTCAACAGCATATGAGTTACCCTCCCACAATGATAAAAGCCATGATTAAAAAAAAAATCTCGCAGGAAAGCAGAAGTGAGATGCTGGCCTGCCCCAGCAGCTTTTCCTAGTTCCTCAACCTGTTGACAGTACTTCTCTGATGCAGCCAGTTTCTAAATGAAGAATTCTCTTCAATCAAGCATTTTGTTCTTCTTAACTCCAGCAAAATGCCCATTGTACTGAATCTCTGATTTAATAGTTGAAACCAATCATTACATATGAGGAGTGCCCATCAATTATTTTGGACATTCCACTTCACTAAATTATAAAATAGCTTATTTTCAATCACTTTCTTCATAAAAACTAAAACAACTTTTCAAATAAAAATGATCTTTTTGAGGTTTTCTGATTTTACATATTAAAGAATCTACAACACAATTTATGTAGGCCACTGATCTTCTGCAAGATAATGTCTTCTTTCCACACCAAGGACATTTGTATTAAGTGGTATTTCGGTTTTTACTTCACAAATATACAGCTTACAGAACAAAATATTTCTATAGTCTGTCCTTCAACTGTTATAAATGTCCTAACCCCTGAATCACTAAAGCCAGCCTAGTATAGAAGCTCCAATTCTATTGGCAAATCCGTCCTCTTCAACTTAATTTCCATTTGTTAGAAAAGGTATCTACTACGTTTTCTCAGAAGAAACATAAAATTCAAGAGCAAGATGTTCTCCAAGACAAGGAAGAAATGAGATAATATCAGAAAAGTGAGCATTTAATGTTTCAAGAAGTTCATGTAGGCTCTGAAGTGTGTGCTCAGAATTATGAATGTAAAAGTTGGAATTAAGAGGCCTCACAATTTTCAATTTCATTTGTTTGTGATTAATAATCATCTCTTCCAAAAAAAAAAAAAAAGTTGAGGTCTGACACAATGTCCTTCCATTGGTATCCTCACATAGCCAAAGACCAGGAGGGGGAAAGAAACAAGACCAGCACCAGCAATGTTGAACTTGGGTTCAGAGTACTTCAGAAGTTGAGAGGACTAAACTGGTACCCTCCCCCACACCAAACACTCGGATTCAGGGCTCAATCTAGCAGAATCAAAGGCACAGACTCTTGTGAGGAAACATCTCACTACAGCCCTCAATCACCTAAAATAGGTTTTAGAATTTTTAAGGTGTAATTCATATAAGTGTAAAGCTCATGAAATGTGGTCTATTTTATATCAATACTCTTTTAATCAATATGCTTACAATGCAAATTCAGGAACAACACAGACAACAAAGCCATTTTAAACTATTCTGATTCTTACAATAACTGGATGTGTATGTTTAATACATTGAGTGACAAAGTGGAGACTATATTTATTTTGTCAAAGCTTCCTGACTCCTATACAAGTGTTCTACCACATGAGCCATTCCTCATTCATTTTTATTTTTCAGACAGGTAGCATGCTTGTACCTTAATTGGGCTGGTAATGCACTTTCACATTCAGATTTTGTATTCCCATAATATGGAACAATGAGTTTGGATCATTTCACAAATATTCACTGAAACTTAAAATCCAGGATGAACTTGGGATAGGAGGGGCTCAAATTTCCCCTTTCCTCCATGATCATAAACCAGGCACCACTCTGAGCCCCAGAGATTGTAAATAGATATAAGTTGAGATGTAGATAGAACAATGACTTTAAAGAGAACTTTCTGCTGCAGTCCTAATTTCTTAATGAACTGTACAAATATCTGTTTACAAATATCACTGGGATTGCAAAGAAACTCTAGAAGGCTCTTGAGAATGTATAAGGTCATTAAGATATTAGAAAAGAATCAGGTCTTGAGATAAGTTCTTCAAACACCCAGAGGCAAGGCTGGACAACAGTTAGACATACATTCACTGGATCAGATTCCCCAGGTCACATGGATTCCCCAGAGTTCTGATCCTTTCTTGAATAGAGTGCCTGCATCCTCCCTGGGAGGAGATCAGAACACAGTACCTGGGGCTGTGCCACCCTGTCCTTAGTCTTGTTCTAGCCCGATTACAGATTCCAATGGCTGAAATTCATTGGTCTTAAAATTAACAGACCTCATTTTATACGTTGCCACATGTAGCAATCCCATTTAAATAATCAGAAGTTGCCATAGTGTCATCCTAAATGCCTAGCTTACTCCAACAACTTCAGTTACTTCCCAAACATATCTGTGCCTCCCTTTCACACCTAGACTAACGCAGAAACAAAGAGATATTTAAAATGATTCACAATGCTTCTCAATGTTCACAGCAGCTATCCTATTTCTCCTTTGCTACATTAGGGTACTAGTTCTGATCTGCAGATATAGAAAGTAGAGGTGAGCCCTTCTCATCTCCATGTACTATCAGAAATTTGGGCACATGTGATAAGAAAGAGATGTAAGAGGACTAAGGAACAGGTGCTTAATGGGATGGAGTTTGAAAGTGATTTACCTTGAATCTGATCTGGAATATTAAACTGGTACTGGAACTATGGGGGTTCTACAGCCCTTTTGAGAACATGAGACATTAACACAGTATGGCATTTGAGAAAAATAAGGCATTAAAAATCCATAAGGAAGCTGGGCACTGGTAGTTTATGCCAGTAATCCTAGCTACTCAGCAGTCTGGGATATGAGGATCACAATTTGAAGCCAGCTGAGACAAGAAAGTTGATGAAACACTTATTTCCAAGTAACTACCTGAAAAACAGAAGTGCAGGTCTAGTTCAGAGTGGTAGAACACTGAAGCCTTGAGTAGAAAATCTCAGGGACAACACCGAGGCCCTGAGTTCAAACCCCACACTGAAAAGAAAAGTACATAGTCATTGTGGCAAGTCACAAATAATGTAGTAACTTTGGTCTTTTCTGGTAGCAACAAGCTTTGGCTCCAGCCCTCGAGCCATCAAACCTCAGGACATGGCATACTTGAACCAGTACTATACTTGCTTTTAATAATTATCTATCATATGAAGTAAAGTAACATAAATGAGGAAGAACTTGACTCAGTCTTACATCTACGAAAGGAGAAGCCATTTTTTGGGGGGTTGTAGGGCTAATACTTTAGGTCTGGGTGATGTCCTTCAGCTCTTCAGCTCAAGGCTAGCGCTCTACCACATGAGCCACAGCACAACTTTTGGGATATTTTTGGTGGTTTATTGGAGATGACTCTCACAGAGTTTCCTGTCTGGCCTGGCTTTGAACTATGATCCTCAGATCTCATTCTCCTGAGCAGCTAGGATTACAAGTGTTAGCCTTTAATCATATTTTATCTTGTGTTTATATGTGCATTTTGGAATAGACTGAAGCATGAGTTCTTTGAAAATATGAAAGCTTATGTTTTCTTACCTGTCAGTTACATGTTGCAATGTATAGAGAAATTAGAAAAGTTAAAATGAAAACTCCATTTTCCCCTATGTTCACAGGTATTTTGATATCCTGAGCTTGAAAGACTCATTTTTCTCCTTAATCCTCTTTCATGTCTTTACAAAGAATTGAAATTAAGACACTTAAGTAAACCAGGTCCTCACCATGAAGGCACCAATAGATATGTTCATAGGACAGAGGATTGATCATGACTTGTGATGTGTAGGTAAATCACATTCTCTGTTCTAAACTAAGATATTTGGACACCATAGACTTGTGATGATTTACTGAGATGAGCTAGTCTTGCAGTTGTTTCCATCTTTTTGCATATGCCAAGATCACAGCCCACTGTCACAATGACTTCATATAGGCTGTTCACACCCTTTTGAGCAGTCTGTTCCAGTCAGCACACAGAATGGACATGAGGGCTCCTGCTCAGCTCCTGGGGCTCCTCCTGCTCTGGCTTCCAGGTAAGGAAGGATAGCATTTCTCTATCCACTATGGCATGTGCTGAAGGGGCTTCAGGGAAATCTGTAATAACATGACTAATAATGTAGATATTTGCTTTTATGCTTCCAATACCAGGTGCCAGATGTGACATCCAGATGACCCAGTCTTCATCCTCCCTGTCTGCATCACCAGGAGACACTGTCACCATATCCTGCAGAGCCAGTCAGAGTATTAGCAATTACTTAGCCTGGTATCAGCAGAAACCAGGGAAAGCCCCAAAGCTCCTGATCTATTACACTTCAAGTTTGGCCTCTGGAGTCCCATCCAGGTTCAGTGGCAGTGGATCTGGGACAGATTATTCTCTCACCATCAGCAGCCTCCAAACTGAAGATTTTGCCACTTATTTCTGTCAGCAGTATGCTAGTAGACCTCCCACAGTGATACAACCCATATCATAAACTTCCCAGGGAAGCAGAAGTGAGAGGCAAGGCTGCCCCGCTGCACTTTCTGGTACCTCTACCTATTGACAGTTCTTCTCACATGCAGCCTAGCTCTGATGACTATTGCAAGCTTTTCATTCAACTTTCTGTAAAAGCTCCTCTGTATCTCTGTCTCATTTTTCATCCTCTGTCCCAGAAGCACAGACATGTTATGTCTCTTCTCAGATAAGGGCACCTTTTGGGATTCACATAGTAAAACACAAGTCAGACAAAATTCTCCAAGAAGGACTTGTTTTAATAAAGGAAATGAGTCTAATCATTAGCTTCTGTACTCCTAGGTAAATAGAGAAGTTGGAACTAGGAGTGAGGAATTCTCCAGTTCTGTGAAACTCTCCTAGGGTTTAGGATACATAAGCCTGGGATTCAACAGACTGTGTAAAAAGCCATTGTGAGCTGCTGATGCTCACACCTGACCCAGCAACCACTCTGGGGGATTCTCCAGGCCTCAACTCTGTGATGATGTCACCTGTTTATGTCAAGAAATGCACAAACCCCTAATGTTGGAATTCTGCAAGAAACCAGAGAAGGAAAGGATTTTCACTTCTACAACAAAGGTAATGATCATAATGATGGTTTGAGATAGCTCACAGCTTTGGATCGTCAAGATTTCCCAAATTCTCAGAAATATTCCTCCTAAGCGATGGCATTACAATTCACTTAAATTTGATTCTAAGTTTTGTCTACCAATCTGAAATCATAAAAAATAAAAAAATAAAACTTCATTAAGTCTTGGAAGAAAGTATAAAAGCTGAAAATTGTATAAAACATCACAAGTTGTTCAAGAACTTACAAAGGAACAAACAA